ATTAGAACAAGAAAATGAAGAGCCGTCAGAATGGCTTCACCTAAGGGAATTCATGCTTGGCCAGCTTGATGAACTTCTGCAGTGGAATATGAGCCAGCGTGTGCCCAGGTGGCCAAGAAGGCCAACGGCATCCTGGCTTGTATTAGAAATCTTGTGACCAGCAGAAGAAGGGAGGTGATTGTCCCTCTGTGCTCAGCACTGGTGAGGCCGCACCTTGAGTATTGTGTTCAGTTTTGGTCACCTCAGTATAGGAGAGATCTCGAGGTGTTGGAGCGAGTGCAGAGGAGGGCAACAAAGCTGGTGAAGGGCCTGGAGAACAGACCTTATGAGGAGCGATTGAGGGAGCTGGGTCTGTTCAGTTTGACGAAGAGGAGGCTGAGGGGGGATCTCATCATGCTCTACAATTGCTTGAAAGGACACTGTAGAGAGGTTGGTGCTGGTCTCTTCTCACAGGTCATTAGGGACAGAACCAGGGGGAATGGTTGCAAGTTGCAACAGGGCAAGTTTAGACTGGACATTAGGAAGAAATTCTTCACGGAAATAGGAAGAAATTCTTCACAGAAAGAGTGGTCAGCCCCTGGAACAGACTGCCTGGGGAGGGGGTTGAGTCACCATCCCTGGATGTGTTCAAGTGTCGCTTAGATGGGGTGTTGGGCGTTATGGTTTAGGGGTGACCTTGTAGTGTAGGGTCAATGGTTGGACTTCAAGCAGAAGAATTGCCAAGTCCTACCTCTAGAGAGGAGCCACCCCAAGCACTGGGATGCGCTGGGGATCACTGAGCTGCAAAAGAGTTTGGCAGAAAACAACCTGGAGGTCCTGGTGGGCACCAAGGTGAATGCAAACAGCCAGCACAGTGCCTTTGCTGCAAAGAAGGGTGGAGGTTTCTTGGGCTCCGTTAGACAAAGTATTGCCAACAGGTGGAGGGAGGTGATCCTGCCCCTCAGCTCAGCACTGGTGAGACCACACTTGGAGTGCTGGTGCTGGTGCTGGGCTCTCTAGTGGGAGAGATATGGACATACTGGAGAGAGTCCAGCATGAAGATGATGAAGGGTCTGGAGAATCTGTCCTAGGAGGAAAGGCTGAGGGAGTTGGAGCTGTGCAGCCTGGGAAGAGAAGGCTCAAGGGATATCTTGTCAATATGTATAAATACCAGAAGAGAGGGTGCAAAGAAGACAGAGCCAGGTTCTGCTCAGTGGTGCCCTGTGCCAGGACCAGAGGCAGTGGGCACAAACTGAAACCCAGGAGGTTCCTTCTGAACATCAGGAATATTTTTTTTTTCGCCATGAGGGTGACTGAGCGCTGGCACAGGTTGCCCAGGGAGGTTGTGGAGTCTCCATCCTTGGAGATTCTCAAAAAGCATTTGGACACGGTCGTCGCCCGTTGGCATTGGGTAGCCCTGCTTGAGCAGTGAGATGGGATCCGAAGACCTCCAGACATCCCTGCCGGCTTCAGCTGTTTCGTGTGATTCTGTGATTTGGTGTTGTCTTTAAATGGAATTCAACCATGAAAACCACTTGAACTCATTAAAGTGATACCGAAGTTTAGGTTACCAAAGAGGTCAAAAACATTTCAAGCTGTATGTCAAACCGATCTGGAAGAGCCTCGATCAGACTTCACGCAATCTGGTATTGTAGGTTTTTTTGCATGCTCTGTGCTGGGATGGGACAACAAAACAGTACGTCGAAGCTCTTATTTTACCATAAAACTGCCAATTGAAGGGTAAAGACTTCATTATAGTGGAGAAGGGCAACTGTAATCATTTAAATTTTGAAGCGCTCGTTTCCTGACGTGGCATTTCACTTGTTATCGTCTCAAGGAGGGTGCAGAAGTTTCTTGGTGCTACTGAAGAAATCCTTTAATGCTTCTTCTTTGGTGTTTTCTACCTATAATGTTTTTGAATATACTGAAACTGGTCTTAAAACAGTTTTTCGTTCTCTTCCCTTTGATAAATCACAAAGGAGAAGAGATTAATTGGATAAAATCTGAACAGCAGACCCACGGTTTAGAATAACTTGTAAAAATAACTGTTGCAAACATCCATAGGATAGTTTAATTTTTTGGGGTCTTCTCTGCATGAATGCTTGTGGTGTGACTGATGAACCCCTTAAGGTGATGTGTGGTTAACAGGAGCATTTCAGGTAGAAACTGGTGAGTGTAGAAACAGAGGAATAGCTTCTGACAGTCCTCTGCTTTTGTCTTGGTGCAAATGAATAACAAAGTTATTCATATTCTGAGTTTAAGAATAAATACAGGCGAAGCTTTCGCATCTGAGAGCTGCATCTTCCTTCAGCTGTGGAGCTCCTCTGCCCACCGAGGCTAGCGTGGGGCATTGCAATTTTAAAGGTGAACTTCTTTACAAAACGCCCGTTGGCTTTGATGCCTTTTCTGTCGACGTTGGGGACAAGAGGGGCTGATTCCTGGGCCACAGCTTTGTGGTCAGAGAACCCCTCGGTGACATCAAATGGCACAAGAGGACGTTTGAAGTGGAGAAGACGCCGGGAAAAGAAGAACATCTTCACTTGCCCGGGGTTGGAATCTTGTCAGATCTTACAGATAAATGGGACCCCAAAGCTACCCAGGAAACCTGTTTAATAGGCAGAAAGTGCAGGAAACACGGTCCCCACTGTTTTATCAAAGACCGGCTCTAACAAAACTTACATACCGGTGTGTAACTGCGAGATATTGAACTATTCGCTTGGCTGTTGTTTGGAAGAGATGTAAATCAATCCCCTGACTGTCTGAGGGTGTTCGAAATTGGTTTGCTCTTTTGAAAAGGGAAAAGCATTCATCTCCGCGTCTGGCAGAGTTCTCAGCAAGATTGCTGCCTTTAGTCCTCCTAAATGCCGTCCTCACATTTGGGTACAGGAGTGTTTCCTCCCTCTTGGGTTTTCGTTGTGTGATATTAAGGATAATTTCCAGCCTGCTTACAAAGGAGCTGCAGTGTAATGATGGGGACCTGTCCTCTAAAAGGTTGTTTAGGCTGTGAAATCTTTGCATTGGACCAAGAGGAATAAGATACTTTTTTTTTTAAAAAAACCCAGTAAGTTAAAACCTTCCTTCCTTTAGCATTCCCAGTGCTGTCCTTTCCACAGCTCTTGTTCCAAAGAGCTCATTTTTGGTGTTTGTACCCAGCATACTGGGATTTTGTGAATTTTTTTTTTTTTTAGAATAGCAAATAGCATTAACGAAGTCGGTACAGCATGCGTGCAGCACACAAAAAGTGCTTTACAGCCTCGCGGATTGAAAGGTGTGTGGTAGATGAGAGCTCTGAGGAGAAATAGGTGTGTGTCCAGTGGTCAGCTTCTAATTGGTAGTATTGCTTCTGTGTGTTTGAAGTATCTCATGTATTATATTTTAAAATAAATAAATAAATAATGCTTTCTGGGTGTTTCTAGTTTCTTGCCCGTAACTTGCCCAAATTTAATTGAAATAAGTGTGCTTGAGAAAGGGGAAGAAAAAAAAGCACTATTTGATCTTCCTGATGCTCGTTACCTGCAACCTGATGTCCTTCTCCATCGTGGCGTCTGATGACCTCAGGGGACACGTCCTCACCTTGCTCCTACATGGTGGCATCACTGCTGCTCGGGCCTGCGATGTCAGAGCGCCTGGACGCCCAGTCTGGTTTTGAGCGAGAGATGCCGTGTTTGGGATTACGCTGATGGAAAGAAACAGCCTCTTCTGTGGAGGCTGGTGTGAGCTGACACTGAAATAAGTGTTGTCTGTTTATCGTGATGCTATTTATGTAGTGACACCGTACAGGCTCTTTGGGACGTTGTTTTCTTGCTCTTGTGCAAACTTCCCCGGCGCCGACGCTC